TTCCCTGCTTAAACCCTGCTCCTGTCTGCGGCCTGAAATGATTCCCTCCTTATCCATGCAAAGGATATATCCCAGGCCACATCAGCTGCGCGCTCAGAGGAAAGACTACCTGGCATCCAACCCGGAGTGCCGATGGGTTTCAGGGGCCAGGGGAGGAAGAGGACACCGTTCGGGGTCCCGCAGCCGCCCGGAGCTCCACCGAGAGCCCCCCTCCCTCCTTCTCCCTTCTCCCCGGCCCCGTCACCTCTGGGCCGGGTCCCAGCAGCTCGTAGCATCCCCGCCACGGCCCTCGGAGGGGGCCGTGGCTCCGGCAGCGCCCGCCGGGGGAGGGAAGGGGAGGGAGGTGCTGCCGCCTCAGCCTCTCCTCAGCCTCGCCGGGCCGCTCCTGCCGGGCCGCTCCTGCCGGGCCCGCTGCTCGCCAGCCCCAGCACCTCGTGAGGGAACCGGGGACAGGAGGCGAGGGAACGGCCCGAGGCTGAGCCAGGAGAGGTTTAGGCTGGATATCAGGCAAAGGTTCTTGCCGCAGGGGCTGTTTGAGCACTGGAACAGGCTCACAGGGAGGTGGGCACAGAGCTAAGGCTGACTGACTTCAAGAAGTGTTTGGACAGTGCTGTCAGGCACAGGGTGTGACTCTAAGGGATGGTCGTGTGCAAAACAAAGAGTTGGACTCCATCATCCTGATGGGCCTCTTTCAATTCGGCGTAATCTGTGATTCTGTGGTGCTGTAGCTATTGTATGCATAACACATCTTAAAAATAGTATCAATCTTGAACATTCCTTTTTTGACGCAGTTCAAAGATATGAAAATTTCTCTCACATAAAAACAGAACCCCTCCCAAAAAAACCCCAAACCAACAAAAAACCTGCAACAAACAAACAAAACCCCTACACCCCCCCAAAACAAACAAACAAACAAACCAAAATACCAAAACCAACAACAACAAAAAAATTAATCCAGTTAGCCAGTATTAACATGGCTTTTTTTTTACTTCCTGTGGTCCTGGCCACACTCTCTTTGTCTCCTGTTGTTATTTTTGGTACTCTGTATGTCATTGTCACAACTCTGCCATTTTATCATTCTTTCAGAGGGCCTTTCCTCCACCTGGTATCCTTCACATTCACTTGAATGTGGCAGGGCCAGTTCAGGAGAGCTCTGTGCAGTCTCAACATTTGCATCTTGTTTCTGGTAAAGACAAAACTATACATTTGAAGGCACTGGTGGAGGCATCTCCTGGTAAGGAAATCATTGACCTGATGGACTCTTTACTGTATGTTGTTGTGCTAAAAAAATGGTACTTGTAGAGAAATAGGAACTTGAATTGTTAACACTGTGAAAGTTCTGAAGAGTTTAATTTTGCATACATTATGGCTTAAAAAATTAAAAGACTGACAAGCTATAAAATAACACCGAAATTTTGAAAATAAAGCTGATCTACCTTATTCTAACATCTAGTATAGTTAGGAAAAGAAACAGAAAAGAATGACATGTGAGGGGATACACGGTCTGTGGGTGTGCTGGAGGAGACAGGGAGGGGGACAGAGCAAAGAGTGGCACAGTGGGCACAGGTCCAGCTGTGGGCAATGCCATGGTGGTTGCATGACACTTCAATGTTTTAAGGCATTTAATTCAGTTTTTCTTTCCTGGGTTTCCCCTGCTGACAGGAGGAAAAGGTTGATGGTAGCAAACCTTGCAGTGGAAGCGTGAATGGTACAGGAACAAGGCCCTGGGAAGAACTGTGGGTGCCCTAGAGTATTTCCTTCTCCTCTGAGGAAAACTGCAAATGAACAGTGAATAACTTCTGGGAAACTATATAGTTATGTGAAAATAGGGCTAAGAAACTACACTCCCCAAATGCTGCCCTCATCAGCATGGTAAAGCATTGTGATAGTTACTGAAAAAATACACATAAACAATATTGGATGTTCACTTCTCAAAAAAAAAAAAAATGAAACTACTGGAGTATGATTGCCATCTTTAAAGCTGGAGTTACACCTGCCTTATAACCCACAGCTGCCTGGTTGCTACAAACAGGTTTCAATTGTGTACACATATTCAGCATTCCAAGTATACTTTAAAGTGTTATTTTACAAAGGAGTGCATTTTCAGAAGTCATCCTGATGACAGCAATGTGAAAAATAATCATTAAAGAATTTATTTTCCAAAGCATAAATAGTGTGCATTGCTTCAGTGCCCATATTTTCTAATGGAGGATTAGTTACCAACTTGTCAAGCCTATTTAGGAAGGGATTATCAATTTACAGGAATTGCAAATATCAGTGTAGAAGACAGTAAGTCTTAAATTTCTTCCAACAAGTCACAGTTTTTCTGTTGGCAATCTTTAGACAGCTTATTTTCATAGTTAAACATACTGCATTGCAAAAGCCTGGTGGGATTTCCTTTTGCCTGGAAGGGGGCAGTGCTCTTAAGCATAGCGGTTAGAGAAGAATTTTTCTGTAGATGTGACTTGAGATGTAAGAGAAATGAGAGTTCTGAGAATTGGATTTCCCAACACTACAGGATCCCTGGGGGCAGAGAGGGGATTAGAAGGGGAAATACCATTTGCATGTGACCACAGATCAGCATATCAAGGCTTGTCTAAGAATTTGATCTTAATCTTGGAAAACCACACTGCAATGTTTTTAGATGCTATTTTATCAAAAATTTCTGGGGATAAATTTAATTGTAATAGTACCATTCTTTTATTGATAAACCATAGCAATCTTGTACTGTAGTACAATTAAATTTTTGTATATTTTTTTCAGCTTGAATACTTAGCCAGTGTTGAGATTTTTTTAGTAGCTGGTAGTCTGTGGGGTCCCTTAAAATTATTGGGGTTTATTCAGCAGGTGTCACGCTGACAGTCCTGAGAATTGTGGGGGACAAAGTCCTGAAGAGGCAGTGCAAGCATCTTCCACTGGTTTACATAAGGCACTTTCGAAGCAGATAACTGAGTTTCAATGTGAGGAGGGAGTGCATCCTTGTTTGAAAAGCATGAGGGATAATGAGTGGGCATAACAACAATGTAGCAAAGTGGGATGGGAAATAGCTGAATTTTGACATTTGTGAGAGTACCTGAAACTCTGAGTCACCATGAAGGATTTATCTGGCAGAGAGCTGTCAGTCGAACCTACAGTATAACCAGTAAGAGGAGCTGGAATTTCTGAATTTCTCAGAAGTACAAGTGCCACTGCTGGTGAGCACAGTTCCCATGTCACATGACAGAGATGTGAGTTCACCCCAGTTCAACATCCTGATTAATACCACAAAACTTTCTGGGCATTGATTTGGTATGGGAGTCCTTTCCCAACACTGGTTTCAGAGGGCTTTGAAACTATCTCATGGGGGTTATATCAACATTACTGTGAGCTGGGGTTGTTTCAGTTTTCAGTTCAAGAGAAACTTAAAATGTCCACTCTTTTCCCTGTTTCTATGTAAAAGAACAAATGTTAGCAGTTTATTCATAGCTAGTGGTATTAGGTACATTTAAAAGACCATATCTAAGATATTTTTCTAAGATCAGGTGATTGGCTCTTGGATAAGCCCAGTAAATGTTTTACTGGGGCTGCTGTTTGGTTTTAGTGGAGTTGATCTCTCCTTGCTTTAACTTGTAAATGAATGGGTGCTGTATACAAAAGTGCATGCTGAGGCTCCCTGACTGGAGGTTTCTTGGGTGCACTAAGTAGTAACAATAATCTAGATTAAAAATAGGGAGAGGGAAGAGCCAGACTGACACTGCCATTGCTTGTTCTAAGCAATACATGATGTCAGTAAAGCTGTGGTTTTATAATAGTAGTTGGGCAAAGTGTCAAAGATTTGAGATAACAGAGAAGTGCAAAGGAATTCAAGAGCTGCCATGGTGAACTTTACTCCAAACAAAGTGACATATTTGAGAAATGGAAGCAAAAATTAATTAAAAGTCATTTGTTGAGCTGAGTTGATTTTCATACCAGCAGATATATAGCATCTTTTTCCCCTTGTCACTGCATTCAAAGTGAAAAAGACACCTTTGATGACACCTCCTAAAGGCTGTCTGCTGCAAAAACTTGTGCAGCATAGCTTTGATGTGCTGCTCAGATTCATAAAGCTGAAGACATCGATCACTCAATATTAAGTCATGAAACATGTAAACACTCACCCCCTTAACTGTAGTGGAAGGAAACAAAGGAAACCTAGACTTTATGTTTAGAAGCACTGTAAAGGACACACTATGCAAAAAACATTCCTACAGTTCATTTGCATCATATTTGAATGGTTAAGGTATGGTTTTCTTTCTCTTGCGCTGGAAATAATTGGGACACAGATACAGGCAAACTGAGCAACCATGCTTCACACATGAATAATGCAGTGTTTATCTGCCTCTTTGCCTCACCAAAAACTTTAAAACCTGTAGTCTGCACTCCTGTATTTACCCAGTGAAGTGATTTGTAAATAAATGAGCTTCATAAAAATAAATATTTATTAATTTGTTTTTCAGCTGGAATGCAGAGGGAATGAAGTAAAAAAACACACAAGCAAATCAGTATCTGGGTGAGGTTTGTGGGACTCTAAGCTCCATCTCTCTGCCAGAGAGGCTTTTGCAGACCCTCTCAGAATTTAGATTAGAGAATGAATCCTTGGAAAAGCTCAGAATAGTTTTACAGGAAAATGATCTGTGGAGGTAGAGTTCTCAGAATTATTTTCAAATTCTTACAGGAGGATCCTTCTGTCAGCAGAATGACTTTTTGTTCTAAGCTCCTTTTGCCCATCTTAGTGCCCCTAATTGCAGTTCAGTGAAGCACTTAAAGACCCCCACACTGTGGATCTTTAATGGGGTGCACCACTACTTACCCCACTTCCTAAATTACACTCATGCAGGAGTTGTCAGTATATATGACATCACTTGCTTACGTGTAAATCTGCTGATGGAAAGCGAGAGAAATAGATTAAAAATCAGTCCCAACCCTCAAAGCCCAGAAACCACCCTATCTACTGAAGTCACTCAATAGGAGGAGTCATAAATTGCAGAAGATTGACTACAGCTTTACTTTCTGCTTCCTACTCACTCACTTCATTGGTGTCATTCAGTTGTGTTAGACATCTAGCATAAGGAAACACTCAATTTGCCACTTTTCTGTGGATATTACAAATCACTTTTTCTCCTCTTCCACATGCTGAAATTGTGTTTCTTCATCTGTTTGATATACTGGGTGAAATCAGGTAAGAACCATCAGCTTACTTGTGATGTAGAATCTTGGCTTTAATCAAACATTTAAAAAATGAATATTCCATCATTTAAATTGGCTGAAAGGTTAAGATAAAATCTTATGAATTATGCCTAATTGAGCAGATGATTAGTAAAAAAAAATTCAGTAACTTTGAAACTGAGACATAAGTTTTCATTTTAAAGTAAATAGAACCTAGCCTGATACTTTATCTCTGGCTGTACTTTGCCCAGAGACCTGCTCAGGTATGTGCACTTTGTACAAAGTAGACGTAATCATGAAATAATCTTAATATACTCATGTGAGTTCATTGGTTGTTGCTGGTTTGATAGGTGCTTAGATTTTCAAGTTATGTGTTACATTTTTAAATAATAAAATTTAATTACAAAAAAAGACTGTTCACTTAAGATTTTCCCCTTTTCAACCACCCAAGAAAATTATAATGCTTACAAATGTGCCCAAGAAAGTTAAAATTATACATTAACTTGATTAAACTGTGTGTGTAACAGCTCAATGCCTACATGTATGTTTTGATTGTACAGGAAAGAGTCAGTATTCCAACAAGAGTGCATAAAGGGCAGCTGGTTATTGCTTCCAGTATTCAATGAGAAACCGGAGTTTGAAAAACTTCCCCCAGTGACGCCTCGCTAAACAATTCAAAGTATTAAATCTATAAACCTATTTGTAGAACTGATCTAATTCCACAGTAAAAGCATCATCATTTCAGTTTTATTCTCTATTTACTTTTGAAAGAATAACTTCTGTCATTTCACAGCCAAGAGTAAACAAGTTGCTTCCCTTTGACATTTGCCAGCTAGTAAATAGGTTTGGCAGTTAAAATAATTTCCTTGTGATAGATTTCTCACTCCCATGGAACAGACTATGTCCGGTTCATCTCACTGTCTTTCCACTGGTTTTAGAAGTAATTTTTATTTCTACCAATCAAATTATTAAAAAAAAATCAAAATATTTAAAAGGATACAGAACAATATCTTAGCATGAATCTTCTATATTTTAGATATGAAGGAGTGAATTTTAAAGATCAGTGATTGGATTTAAAGAACACATTAGGCAAAGTGAGAGTTTCATGTTGTACCTGTGAGACTATAATCAAATGACAGGTTTTTATTTTCACTTTAGATGATGTTAGTGTACAGTGTTAGTTCACTGCAGATGAAGTTAGTGTAATGTAATTTACATTCTAGTTTTATCATCATATATAAATATATAAAAACCAGAAATCAAATGTGAAACATATTGTTAACATCTCAGGATCATGTCACATGCATGACATTTTACCAGGTTCTTGATTATTATTTTTATTAAATTCAAGTCCACTTCTGCTGAACTGTTCTGTTTCAAAACTTCTTGCATAAGTCCAAGCAATGAAATGAGTTGCCTTTCTGTATCACTTGTTAGTTAATAAACTGTCTAGTAATCTCAGTACAAGTTACTTATATTCTTACATGTTTAAATGAGGAAAACAGTGGTGTTTATTTTTAAATATAATTCTGTCTTTTTCTCCATGTAATAATTGTAGTTACTGTCATAACATGATGATAGGCATGAAACTTTTGTCTTTTTTTTTTTTTGGTTGATTTGCAGTGGTTTCGGGTTATTTTTAACACTGTGTAACTTCAAGCCTGCTCTTGTTTGGACTATATCCATTATTTTTGTGTGATGTCCAGCCCAGAGGTGACTAGTCTAGTCTTTGTAGATACATGTTTGGCATTAGAGGTGATTGGTCTAGTTCCCTACATTAGTGAAGTATTGTCTTTAGTGCCTTTACTGAACCTTTACTGCACCTTGACTGGCATAATTCACATCATTTAGCTTTGCTTAGACCTGACCTGTAATATTAAACACATATTTCAGATACCTTGTAAGCCACCCACACTTTCCTTTTGCAGCTTTAAGAAAGGGTGCAGGCTTGCTGTCCATCTTAGATGTGATGGATTTGGTTCTACCTGTGAGCTGTTCTCTGGGAAAAAGAGAAGGGCTGGAATTGTTTCTCTTATGACTCAAAAAATCTGAGAAAATCAGGTTATTTTTTTATATTATTTTTAAGGAACTAAGAAGACACTCTTTCTTTTGTCACTTGCTTTCTTGAAAGTGACTTGTTTTGAATAGATTTTAATGACAGAAGAGTTGAGAAAGGTGCCATCAAGGACCAGAGAGACAACAGTCTTGTGTAAAGTAATGTAACTAGAAGTCAGTAAGTAGGCCAAAAACCATGGCTAACACCATAGCAAAGGTGAAGAGGCCATACAGAGGATCTGTGACAGGTGTTGCTGTTCTGCCCAGAGTTCTGAAGTGCTTTATCTACACAATGTGACTTCAGCACCCAAAATATGTCTTTAAAGTGTGTTGGATGTTGATAACCAGACAGGGGAGAAATTCAGTCTTTTTAGAATCTTGAAAATCTCCATCCTCTTGTTGAACCAGCTTAACCTGGTACACCCTAACTGTCCAAGTGCAAACAGAAATTCTAAATCTTTTTGTCTTGTGCCATTGTGTACACTGACCTTAATTCTTATTATTTCAAACTCAGAGCAAGATTCTTTGATTCTTCTGCCTTTGTTTCTTGGCAATAGTGCTGTTATGGTGACCCAAAGCCAGGAAGGGGTTCTAGATCATTCCTGTTGTAAATAGGCAGCTATTTCCTATTTCTAGATCAAACAAATAAGGTCTAAGGATTGGCAGCACAACCACGCTGGCCCAAAGAGGAAGAAACAACCACAACAGCCTTCCTGTTTATACAGAACACATTTGTTCTGAAAAATTCTAAGAACCTGCTTTGATAGTGAAGTAAAGGATCTTATCAACACTGACTGCTAATTAGTACTTATAAGGAGAAAATACACTGTTCAGGAAAAATTAGAATAATTTCACATTTGAAGGGTTTGAAGGAGCACAGTGGTATCTGCAGAGTCTGTAGTTAAACTGTGGTTCCTTGCTCAGTGCATGTTTTGACACCTCTTTCTAAAGGTCAGAAGTAAAGAAAATGGAAGTTCTCCACTTTCAGCAGAAAAAGATATGGAGAGAAAAGTGAGGAGGTGGTATTTCAGGTATTTCAGGTAGCCAAACTCATCAAATGGCTGTCTTAACACTTTCATCTTTTTCAGATGAGGAACAAAAATGTCCCGAATTTACAGATCTTAACATAGGCAATGCTTTGTCTGGAACAGAACTCCATGTTCAGCTACTTCTATACACAAGGGAAAATCAAGATTGTTCTGAGAGACTCATTGAACACAATGTTACTACATCAGAATACCTGAATACAACCAAGAAAATTGTTTTTGTTATCCATGGCTTCAGGCCAACTGGATCTCCTCCGGCATGGCTGGGCGACATGAAGAAGCTTTTACTGTCTTCAGAGGATATTAATCTCATTATAGTTGATTGGAATCGTGGTGCTACCACTGTGAATTACATAACTGCTGTGGAAAACTGCAGAAAAGTTGCAGAAATACTGAAGAATTATGTTGATCAGATGCTGGTAAGGTAGAGTGTTGCTTTTGTTCTGAGTAAGTGTTAAGAGCATGGTTTGATTTGGAATGGATATTTAAAATATATCTATAGAGAAGTCCAGTGAACAATATCAAATCACATTTCTTTATAGAGGTATTACTAACTTTACATGCAGTTATTATTGCATATATTTAACTTCACCTGAGTTCTTATTTCCCTTTCACTGAAATGTGCCTGAAAGTGCATCTGATTTCTTGAACCAGATGGAAGTTTTTCCAGGTCTTCTGGAAAGACTGAATCCAGCAGTGGGGAAGTGCAGGGAGAGATGTTCAAAGAATATGCAGTGTAAACATTTTACAAAGGCATTGCACTACTCCTTTTTTTTTTTTACTATTAATCTACTATAAATAAAGGTTTTAAATTAGAAATAAACCACTGGGAGAGATATAAATATTAATTCCAAAATGGTATAAACTTCTTGTCTCTAGAGGCAGTTGCTGAAACCATAATTGATGCCAGTGGTCTTAACTAGGCTTTAGATTTATTGCTTGATCAAATGAACAAGACATGTCATGATGTTATATATGCCATTGTCTGATTTGTCACTTGAATTTTCATCTTTTCTCACCACTTATTTCTCAGCCATTCTCAGAAATTTTGAATGCTATTCAGTAAAAAAAGAAAATCATGTGGAATTTGAGAAAAACAAGCAACATTTTGAGAAAGGCTGAGGTGAAAGGAGAGAAAGCCTATCAGAAAGCCTGTCCTCTGGGACAAGATACAGTGATAGCAATTTGCAATTGTGCCAGTAGATTTATTGTTATGGAATAAAAAAAAATAAATAGGACTATAAGAAAAGTCTTCAAGTTAATTGCTATTTACAGATTTGCCTGGCAAACAGTGATAGTGTGTGTGAGTCCTGAAAGTGGTGGGAGGGGGGTTTGTAGGGTCCCACAGCTATTGCTTCCACACTTACAAGCTGTTGTGAGGCCTTTGTTAATTCATTTTGAGACATATTAATATTTCAGATCCTGTGTGTCACTCCATCATTTTGCAGGGATTCCAACTAGGTCAGCTGATGGTGTTTTAGAGCCCTTCAGTAGGTTTTTATTTGGATTTTTTGAATTATGCCTGCTTTGTAGAACAGACATTTTAAGGTGTGCATGTGACATTATTTTTCAGCAGTTGTGTGATGTAAGTATTTATTAATGGTATTATGTTTTGAATTTATTTTATTGGAAGGATAAAGCAGGGCAAGATTTTTTTTTCCTCATTCATACTATTGGTTCAACTTTATTGTATCTGAGAAATGTCTTCCTGTTCCCTTCCCTGCTCCCCTTCTAACTAATGTCACATTTCAGGAGAAATGTGACTCAAGCTTCCTTTTTACATTTTTTTTAGTTAAAGAATTTCATAATTTCTACACTTTAACTAAAATAGAATTGCAAACTGAAAGGAGCTTCATAATAGCTTTTTTTTTCTTTAGAGCTATAAAGTTAGAAATATAATTTGAAGTACTGACAAAAAAAGTGAAAACTAAATCAGCCTACTGATTTCTGTTCTGTTAATTCTGTGTGTGACTGGCTTTTGTGTTTTTCCCCCCATAGGTGGGTGGAGCTTCTCTCGACTCTATACATATGATTGGAGTTAGTCTTGGTGCTCATGTAGCTGGTTTTGTTGGCCAGAAGTATAATGGCAAACTTGGCAGAATCACAGGTAAGGCTTTTGATCCCAGAGCACATATTCTATTGTACCTTGTATTGTTGTCAGAGCACTGAGACATCAACAAATGAGAGCTGAATATTTAATGGTACACATGAGGAAAAATATAGGCCTGATAGCAGTTCAGGAAATTGGACAAGTCTGCCTTCAGGACATAAAGTACAGATTAAATTTTCCAACCTGGTTGCTCTAGTCTCTCAAATAAAAATTGAATGCTACATCTAAATGCCACTTAAATTAAATGATATGCTACCTGAGTGTCTGACTAATTGTGCTCTGGAGGTGAGTTATATTGTGCATTTTGGTTTTATGAAGTGTATAATAGATACAGTATTTTCTGGGGAAAAGGACAAAACAAATTTTCCTGATTTGATCCCCATTGCTGTTGGCTTATTTTCATCTGAATAAATGGGAGATGAGCACATCTAATTATGGAAAGAGAGAAATTAGTAGATATGGGTTGATCAGTCTTGTGTTTGGAATCTCTGTTTTTCTTAGCAAATTGAAGAGAAAAAATACGCTTTTTAAAAATTTTTGTACCAAGAAAATGAAGAATCATTGCTGAATAATGCTCAGATGTTGAACTTTTATATATCTGTAGAAGAAGCCCAGGGTTTATGATGCAAATGTTGTTTTTATTCAGGTCTGGATCCAGCAGGCCCTTCATTCACTCGAGAACCACCAGAGCGCAGACTGGATCCCACTGATGCACAGTTTGTGGATGTAATCCATTCAGATATTGATGGTAATAACATAGCCTTGACTTGCTTATTTCAGCTTGAGGAAGGGCAGGAAAGCAAAAGAGAAGGGATAAGCTGTTTCAGTAAGATCCAAATAGTACTGCAGGAGAATATTTTGTGTTACCACGAACGTTCTTCTGCTGTGCGAGTGTGTACGAACACAGAGGTTGTAAGCACATGGTTATCACCAATTAATCCCTTCTGAGACAGTCAGGCTCTGCTGTATCAACACCACAGAGACACTGCTTAAAATACTAAACCATGTCACTGTAAGGCTAAAAAGAAGAACATTATAAATTCTTCATCTATGCTTTAATCTCTCTTTTCATTTTCTCCTCACAACCATAAGTAAACCTTTAATACCACAGTTGTCTCATTATTTGTATAGTTTCATATCAGTTTTTTTAATAATATTAAAATTTAAGCATTTTCCTCTACAAATTTATATGTGAGGCTGTAAAATACCAATTTTTGTAATGTTCCCATAATGTGAATAAAGATAATGTGTGGAAAAAGGAAGGTATGTCAGATTGAATTAACTCTTACTCATGGAATTTTGCTTATTTTTATAGGACAGATATAGATTTTCATATTTTGATTTACTGCTAATGTTAGTGTATTTCAGAATCCAATGTCCTGCAAAAAGTGGAAAATTTTCTCTAATGAAAATTGCATGGGGAAAGAATTTTGATTGCTGGAGAGAACATGAAGTTAATACATTATTTTTTGTAAATAATATCTCAGTTACGGCTGTTTCTGTTCTTTCCCTTTTGCAGCAGTAGGAACCTTACACAATTTTGTATACATTTGTATACAACATTTTACATATATATAATTTTCTTAAAGAGAAAAAAAACCCTTGACTTTTTTCATAGTATGACTGATTTACAGTACAAAAAGAATGGTATAATTGCAAAAGTTTTCTTTAAGACCTGCATGGTTTTTGGAGTGATAAATAATTGCCATCCTAATTCTGTTTATGCTTTTTTTTTCATTCATGATGTTTTTACTTTAGTACTAGGTTTCAAGAAGCCTTTAGGAACCATTGATTTCTATCCAAATGGAGGAATGGATCAGCCTGGTTGTCCAAAAACATTTTTCAGTGGTAAGTAAAAATTTGTTTATTTAATGGGAAGAAAAGTTTGAGGTCAAATTAATAAAGGCTAAATCAAATCAAATGTACACTGCACTTAGTCAGTAATATGGGACCTGAGACTGCATTCTTTCGTTTCCATCCCTATGCAGCAAAATAATCTTGCTATAACATACATATCCCATCATATCATTAATATTGGCATTGTGTAATTATGTTATTGTATCATATATACAACCTGAATATAGTGATCATTATTTTTCCATGGTTTTATGGTCCAGGCACAGGGGAGCGCATTTGTGTCCCAGTGGTTTTGGCAGGATCCCTTGCCTAGGACATGGAAGGCAAGGCTTCCACATCTCCACTGAGTTTTAGGTTCCTCCTGGCTGGCAATGATGAACCAGGTTTTGGTGTTGGATAAGTCTTTCAAGCTCTAGGATGAAAACAGTTTTATGAAATGATACTTTGATGCAGAATTTTGCTTATTTCAACTTGCATGAGTGTTAGGCAATGTTGCTGCAATTATTCTTGTTTGCTCTTTTGGATATGCTTGTTTCTGTCAGTGTTTCCCATTACTAATCTGAACAGTACTGCTACCAGTTAGAGCTGCTGCAAAGGCATAAATCTTCCACCTGTGTGTCTGTGAATATGGGAGGATCCCTTAAGCCAGCACCATCTTCTCTACAGTTCCCAAATTTTGCTTTGTCAGGAAAAGAAGGAACTTATTTTCCTAGCAAACTAGACAGAAGAATCTCTGAAATGTTCCTCATTGTAATTTTTTTGGGCAAAACTGTCTCTCAGAGAATGGTAAAGCACTGGCACGGGTTTCATGGAGAAGTTTTGGATGTACCACAGGATGAACCCTGTGAGTGTTCAGGGCCAGGTTGGATGTAGCTCTGAGCAACCTGGTCTAGTGGAAGATGTCCCTGTCCAAGGCAGAGGGGTTGGAACAAGATAATATTTAAGGTCCCTTCCAACCCAAACCATTCTATGATTCTACTTATACAACATGTTTTATTCATTAATAAAAATTATTAAATATTCTTTTTATATTTTTTTTTTCTGCTCTGAAGGATTTCAGTATTTTAAATGTGACCATCAGAGATCTGTCTTCCTTTTCTTATCATCTTTGAAAAACAAGTGCAATATAATAACATATCCTTGTGACTCTTATTTGGATTACAAGAGAGGAAAATGTGTTGATTGTGATGCTTTCCAGCCAATGTCCTGCCCAGTATTGGGTAAGTCTTACCATATCTGTTCTGGGCTGGGTGAGATTTCCAGGGATGTTAAAGTAGTTTAAAGTTCATGGGTTTGTCTGCTTTATAGTTATCTCTGTTAGGCACAGGTGCTGAATGTTCCTACTCTTTGATCTTTATGCTTTCCAGTCTGGAATGGATTGTTTCCCCTTTTTAGAGAGAAACTGCTTGTGCTTAGTTCATCACTTCAGGCTTTAAGAGTGTCTTATGAGCCTTAGAGGACCTGTGGTTTTTATTTAAGAGTAATAATATTTAAAGCAACTTTATGGTTTCTTTCACTCTTCCTTTGGAATCAAGCTTTTATTTGGAGGGGATTTTAATTGTTTTGGCAGCTTGTTGCTTTTAGACAGCATCTGGATGCGGTTTGAAAAGAGCTACAATAGTGTGAGCATTTCCTAGTTGGCAGGGTTTTCTTAAAAGTGGAATTTTAAAAATACATAATTAGAAGTTAACTTTCAATTTGTATCTTGTCCTTTTTTGCACCCTTATGCTGGGATGTGCATGCTATATTAGTTGGATCAAGGTAGAAGAAAAAGTGTAGATAGATCTGTGTGTTATTTTATAAAAAAAAAACAACCATAATGAGCTTTTATAGTAGGACAGAAAGACTCCAGGACTTCCCCAGCATGGTTATTAGCCATGCCTGATGCACTTGGACAGAATGCCCAAGGTAGAGGTGGAGAAATATTTCCCCAGTCACCTGCTGAGTCTGGAAACTGAGTGGAGAAGCAGCATCCTTCTGCTGCAGCCTTTCCTGCTTCCTGCTTTGCAGTGGCAGCTCTGCAGCCTGGAATTAGCCCTCCTTTTCCAGTCTAGGTAGAGAGATTAACAGGGAGAGAACAGGATCATCCATTCTAGAAACAAGGACTGTTATCAAGCCCCAAAGACAATATCAGGAATTGTATTAATTGCTTTCTACATTAAATCCATGAGCTGAGGGGGTTTGCTGAGTGTCTTATATTTTATTAAACAATATCTACAAATAGGCTAAAGAATGTAAAAATATTTAATTATTCAAAAGAAAGAAAGGAAAGCAATTCTATAAGTGCTCTCTGCAAATATGTGGGCTACATTTTTGGGTTTGTTTTTATTACCTGTGCAGGATTTTGTGAGCACTACTTTTTGGAGCTAGTATCTAGACTAAAGAGGTAACTATTACATTATGGCAATTTTAGTGATACTAATATATTAGAGGAATTTAATACTTTCATACTACAGTCTGTTCTACTCAGGGGATTCCTTCCTTTTTCTAGTCAGTTTTCTTTCTCAAAGAATATTTAAGAAAATTAAAGCCAAATTTGTCACTGTGTAAAATTCTTTTGTGTAAACATATGTGTATCACAATTTCGCTAAATGTCTGAAATGAAATATTTAAACTTTGGATTTCAGGTTATCATGCTGATAGATGGAAAAAACTGTTGATACCATATAGCTCACCAACAGAAGCTTACTTTGATACCTCAGACCAAGACCCATTCTGCAGTGAGTGACTAAATGCATACATAAAACCTTTTTACAAAAATTTATGACTGTTATTTTTTAGCTGATCTGGAGTGAAAAGATGTTAAAAGTAGCAAGTTAGTGTTAGCCACTGTGTAAAATGATGTAAAAACATGAACTAAGGGTCAGCCCACAGACTGGAGGAAGAAGAATGATGGTGGCAGAAGAAAAAGTAATACTGTGTGAACTGGGAAAGAAATGTAACTTTAAGAGTAAAGGGATGGATTGCCAAGAGGAAGAAGGAAGCCAGAAAATGAGAATCAGGTGGGAGGGCAAAAGCTGGATTGATGAACCTGCTTAGATGGGTTCGATGCTGCCATTTGCAGAGAGCAGGAAAGGGAAGCAAGGCTGCCCTGGGTGGGGGACAAAAAAGACTTCTGTGTTCCACCCCAGGAGGAGATCACTCTACAGTCAACTAAAGCTACTCCCCATCTCCCCAGGAGTAAAACAGTGAAGGGAAAACTCCTCTGACTGCTTCAGAGTTATAGTCTGTGGCAATGAGCTCTCATGGCGTGGGCTTCAGCTGCAACAGTTATCTTCCTACCCATGTAGGTCCATCCTAGATTCTCATCCAGTTTCTGTTTGTATTAAAAGACTTTAGCACCCTGAACAAGTGCAACACACACTTCTAATTAGTTAAGGTTCTTTCATTTAGGGTATGGGGGTAAGCTTGTGGTGGGGAATTCATGTGAAATTCGGTTTTCCCAGTTTTGTCCATCATCTTGGCAAGTTTTGTGACCAGGGACACATGGCCCTAGTCATGTTTTCTGACATCATTGTATCTTCCAAAGGATTGAGGAGAGGTGAATGAAGTGATGGATTTGACATAATTTTTTTTACATAAAATTTACATAAAATAACTCCTCAGTGTCTTTCAGCTCAACCCAAACCTGTTACTACTGTTCTCCCCTACCTCTCGCTGGTGGTGGTAGAAGGGATAAAAGAGGGAAAGAAATATTGTCAAAGACAGCAGCAGGCACATGGAGACGAATAAGAGATATTGTAATGACAGTATAAATTTAACGGAAAATATGTAAAATCATGAAGAAAAAAAACATACAAAGTCAGGAAGCAAAACAAATCAGTCGGAAAAAAAGTGTATTTATTAAATAAGCCTTAATTATTAGATAGTTGGAAAGCTGAGGAAACAGAAATGAACAAGAGGTCTTAAAAAGAAGGGAAATTTGGAACTTGAACAAGACAAGGCCTCATATGAGGCCTGGTCTTTTAGGAGAGAATGATAATAAGCAACATGTAAAAAATAAAGGAAGCTTTATTTGGTGTTCTGACTGGGAGCAATAAAGGTGTGTGGTTCCAATACAGGTGATGGCTACAGAAGACCAGGTCAGGGTTTCTGAGGGCACGAGGCAGGTCAGCAGCAGGTCAGCTTTTTATTCTCCTTTGAACTGGTAACATAAAAGTAGAGTCACCATTCCTACCATCTACCAGTGAATACATTTAACAGGGTGTAATGCCAACTGTTTTCTGTTGAGGTCATTCTTTGACTCTCATGATTTCCCATTTCTTCCTGCAGTGTATAACTACTTACTGGACATTACTACCTGGAACAAAAGCATTAGGAGAGGTTTCATTAAAGTTAAAATAATAGACTATGCTGGAAACACAGTAGAGTCACAGATGAATAGGTACGTTGTTCTTTCTCTTTAAATTTTTCTTTTTTCACTTTATAGGACTAATTTTATGAGTTTTCTAAACCTTTTAACTTGTTAACTTGTAAGTTGAAAAAGTATCCTGAGTTTGTTAAGGCTTGGCCATGGCACCATTTCCTGGATGTGGCTCGGTGTCGGGGGCAATGCTCTCACGCTGAAATGATCCTTTCCCAGGTCCGTGCTTGGAACTGATTTCAATCCTGTTCTAGTTGTCCTTCTGAATGCTCAAACTTGATACATCTCACAAGATTTCCCAGTTTAATAATAATGCTTAGCAATAATGAATATTGTTCAGCTAACAAAAGTCTGACTAAATATTTTTCTTTAGTGAAGCGTCAACATTTCAGCAATATAAAAGAGTCAAAATACTGATTGGATTTCACCGAGACATTGAAAAAATTTCAAAAATTTCCTTGACCTTTTCTACAAAGACTTTAATAGGCCCAAAACACAAACTTAGGATTCTTCAGATGAAGCTGAAATCTCTCAATAATCCAAAAAGGTGAGTGTTTGTCATGTATCACTGGGTATCAACTAAGGTGCTCAGGATGTTTTCTCAATAACCTGTATTTCCATGCATTAATTTTTTTTTAAATTGCATATTCCTGAGTGTATGAATATTTTTCTCATTCTCCTGATGATCAAATTTGTCATGTGGAAGAGCTGCTGTGTACATTAACATTTTGATCATCAGATCCAAGAAAGTCAGAATTTAAAATAAAAAACCTAAAAAATGCTTATCAAATAAGTAAAACCAAATAAGTAATGAGTGAGAATAATGTTACAATACTTAGTAAGTCTTAAGTCAGTATATTTTATTTACTTGAGATGTAACATTTGAGGGTTTCTTATGTGGTGTATGATAATAGCCTAGTAGGAATTGGGTATGACACTTTGCAAAAATTATGAAACTTTCTTAAATTAATCTACTATTTCAGATTTACCAAGAAAGATGAGGAGATGGATGGGAGAGACTTAGGAAGAAACAAAGCACTCAGTAGTCAAAATAGTACCTCAGAATGTACATACATTTGACTTTATTAACTTATTGAAAGCCATAAGTCTCAAGCTCTCAGGTGAAAATGGCATGATTTTATTTGAAAGCATTTGGTGATGAGAGAGGGTGAAAAAGTTCTAAATCATATTCCAATTTTTTTCTCAGCCCAAAGGTGATAAATCAGAAGATATATTTTGTGTAAGCCTATCAGCACTTGGGACTGTCTCAGATAATGATCTAGCAAGCAAACAAGAAAGATTTTCAGTGAAGAGCCCTCCTAGGGTTTCAGTTTTCATTCCTGTTAGTCTGGCTCTTGTTAGTTTAAATGTAAGATGCCCTTGATATGCTTTAATATAGGATCCACTGAAGTCCTTCATGTGGAGCCTCATCAGATTGCAGCTGTAGAGGCACTTTAGATACTTTTAGAGAACAGTGAAAAATACTGTATTGAATCAGCATGTTAAGGCAATTTAAATGCAGATGTTACAGCACTATTGGTTGGTATAATTACCTAATTGCACATTGTAATTATAACTACCTATATTTACCTTATTTACATATAATTACAGCAATTACTTGAATACAGGACAATCAACTAGAAACTACATTAAAAATATTTCAATTATTCACAACAAAGTAGTAGATAAAAAACAGGGGACAGATGCAGGGATAAAAGACAATAGGAGTCTCAGTCTCCCCAGGTCTGGGTTAATGACAAACTGGGAGAGTCTGGGGAGTATCACAGTCAATTGTCTGCTGGGCTGGTCCACTATTCACACAGATGTTGTGTGAATATGGGAGTGCTGAAAGGTACACATAATTTTCATACTCTTCTTCTGATCCCTGAGATAAATCATTTCTGCTCACCCATTAGACCAGAAAGCTTTGCTAACTTGTGCATGTCCAGGTGCCAGTTATCCCAAAAAGCTTATGAACCTGTCAGTGAATTCAAACTCAGTTAAAGGGGAAGGTGAATGTCTCAAAGATACTTAGCCCAGACACCTCCAGGGTTTTTTGACCAGAACAAGAACAGACACAATATAAAGAAGGCCTTGCAAATACCTCTTCTTAACAAGTGTGGCATGCCCATGTTTTTTAGTAGACAGCAGAAAAGCCATTTGTGTTGAGGGAAACCTCACCTAACAAAAATATTTTTTGTGTTTTGCTCCTTGTTGGTGAACCTGCTCCCTGCTCAGGGCTACTCTCCTGTGAGGCATTCCTGTTATTCAGTAACCACAAGCTGAGATGAATTTGAATTGCACTTCAAATGAGATAAAATATGTTGGAAAACATAAGCTTATGTTTCTAGAATTCAGAATTATGATTTGGCTAGGTATTTTGTCCCCTCTGGTTAGATATAAATAATACTGCAAAAATACTATGATAATGAAACATTGAATTCAAATCAAAATTAATTGTTGATGAAGGACTGGATGAAATTCTATGCTTTGCACTGTACAGAACACCAGAATTCAGCTTGATCTTTTTAGTCATAAAATTACTTTCATTAATTTGTGGAGACCTTAAAAGTTGTCATATTCTTAAGTAAAAATCTGACTGTCCTTTTACATACAGACAGGTGGAGCCTTAACTGGTTGGAAATCTCAAAAGAATGGGTAACAATGGAAATGCCTGGTCCACTGTTCTCTCCTTTTGCTCTTTCACTGTATTCTACATCCCAGGATGAGTTGAACTGAGTGGTGTAGCCACATCTATGAGTTCAGAGCAATAGAGAAGATAATTTTAAATAAGTCAAGTCTCGTAGCTTGTATGCTATGGAAATGCCATCAGAGGGTGTGTCTGTCATTTTCCTGTTTAAACCAGCTCTCCACAAACATTCTAGTAGTGCATGAAGAGCAGGACTGTGACCTGCCTCTGCCCTAAAAGGCAGAGCACTTATATCAACCTCAAAAAGCACGTTTTTCACGTATATGTGGCTCCCTTTGTGACTTCTTTATGTGTTCATGTAGTATTAGTCTGCTGTGAGTTTTCTAGGTCTTTAGAAGACAAATTGCTCTCCTGCATTAAAATTTCTTACACATGCTGTCATTGCAAGTAAAAGAGAAAATATTGTGATGTGGTTCTTTATTCTCCTGAAATAAAAGCAGCGAAATTTTCCTACCTAGGGAACTCCAAAGAAATTATTCAGGCCCTGTGTTAACAGGAATTGTGTGGATTTCGGGTCATGCTGCTAAAGAGTTCATTTGAATGCAGATTAATAGCTGTAATGGATGAAATGCTGCATCTTTGTACCTCAGACTAGTGTGATACACTTCTTTGCAACATCCAGTTTGGTTGTTTTTCAGTTTGTCAAAGCCTCTCTAGGAATGCATGAAATAGTGTATAAACTCGGACAAGGAGACACTTGTCCTGACTACTGTCTTTGAGAGCAGGTAAATACTGGAGGTTTAATAGTTCAAACACTGGAATATTTTTCTGTTAAAGTTAACTTTTTCTGTGGTGATTTTTTTTTTCTTTTTCTGCTTTTGTAGGCCACAGCTGTGCAGATACGATTTTGTACTGATGGAGAATACTGAAATGACCTTCAAACCTATCCCTTGCTCTGAGAGGGGTCCATGAAAAGAGAGCTACTACTAACCTAATTTCTCTCAGAGCAGTGACATTTTGATGCTTCCTCAGGATAAAGACTGCAATGAGAAGGAAATGAGATAAGCTAGATTTATTTTTCAAGAGTCTACCTGATAATATGCGTTACTTGCTCTGAGTGCCTTAGGCTGAAATTAATTGAAAAGTTCAGACATGTATGTGCTTGGAAAATTGAGTAAAGTAAATGTATCATGGTGGAGAACATGCAGTGGTCTGTTCATTACTATTTGTTAGCAATGAAGCAACTACTGAATTAAATATGAATTATCTGCATGATTCTGGCACATTATTTGTCATACATAAATATTTAAATATTTATTATTTGTAATGGCTTTTACATGGAAACATAATGATCTGTCTACTAAGTGAATTTAATATACTGTACATGTGATCTACAGATTTAATACACAACAGTTTTTCTGTGCTGTGTTTATTAGATAAATGAATCCACATTTTCTCTTTATACAATGTCTCAGTATGAGAAGTGGAACAATAATATTTGTGAGCACATTTGTAAATTTCACAGTTTAAACCTGTTGTCTTTATGCTCATTGTACATGAATGCTATTGCAGGCATTCAGATTTGTTTTTAAAAATGCTATGGACAGGGTAGTGTTGTTTCAGATATAAAGTAATATAATGTATATTCTGAGGAGAATAACTTAGAACTGAAATAAATATATTATTTTCATTTTTTTTCTGTTTGGGCCTCTTGGAATTAGAGCTGCTGCTCAGGTTGAGACTGATTGCAGCTTTCCACCTATTGGTATGTGAGCAGGAATAAATGGTACAAAAAGATTACCTCCTTCAGTTGAGAAAGAAATGCTTTCTTGTCCCAGACTGTCTTTCCTGATGGAACTGAATGGAGGACAGATGGGTGTATATTTCTTCTGTCAGGCTGTTTTATGTGTTTTATGCTGGTTTCTCATGCAATTGCATCCTATGCACATTATCCATTTCCTTTCCTTCCTATGCCCCCTCTGTCCCTATGCTAGACATCAATGCTTGGTCAAACCTATTAACTAATTTCATCTGAATGTCAGTGGAGTGGGATGTTCAAAAGCTGAATTTTATGTTTTGTTGCAAGTCTAAAGCTGGGTTGTAAGGAAGATGGAATATAGTGACCTAAGGCAGGCAGGCAGGCGTGTTTTCACTGCTGGAGACAGCTCCAGAGCACTAGTCAGTCCTTGCAAAGCTCTGAACCAGGCATTGCACATGCTTTTACTCGTTCAGACAAACCAAAAATATACTGACTTGTGGCCAGACATGCTTATGGGCTGACTCTTTAAAAATAATTAATTCTAGAGAAATAGTAATTACATTACCATAGGCAATTACCATAGCTACAGTCAAGTTCTCAGCTTTAGCATTTTACTATGTAATTCTTTGTTTCTTTCCTTTGAGGGAGTCATTAGGAGATATACAGGAGAAGACATTTTTTTCTGCTTATATGCTTGTGTATGAAGGGATGGATTTTTAAAATTTCTCTTCTTTTCTGTTTTTTGAAACTGCTGTTACTCTCCTTATTTCATTCTTCATGTTTTTGTCCAGCCTTTCTCTTATCTACCCTAGCCTGACCTTAACAGGTGTCTGAGTCTCCTTTCTTTCCTCACCTTGCCTCCAAATACCTTCTACTTATATCCCTTTAAACAAGCACAGAGACCTGAGGCTAGATTTCAAATGTCTGGAACTAGAATCTTTAAATGTCTGATACATATATTCAGGCATAGAAATAAATCAGACTGTGATACCTTCCTTAAATTTTTTCTGTTTTCCCTGGTGACACAGGAAGTCATACAGACATAACTGAGTGTTGCTCAGTGCTGTGATAAATGAAAGATAAAATTTTATAAAGGAAATTATATTTTGACACAATTTAAACATCCCTATAAAATATGTGGGATGGAAATAGTGATTTTTTTGCCTTGATTTTCATAAGCTTTAGGTAAAAAGGAAAGAAGCAGCGGGGTTGATAACTGGAGGTTCCAATAAACAGTGTGAGACAAAGAAACTTTCTTTTCCCAATTTCCGATTTGAGCTGGTAATTTCAGTTTCGTAAGAGGGACTGTTCCAGGCAGTGCATTTCCAGCACATAATTGCACTTCTCAAGTGGCTGAGCACTTCTGTCTCCCAGCACCAACAAAATGGACTGTAATTGTTCAGAAATGCAGTGCCTTCTGTGGCTCGCTGCCACATGCTACTTTGTACTGATTGTGTCAGCTCTCTCAGACTCAGCAGAGGATGCCATAGTCAGGCAGAAAATTAAAATCTTCCAGGGAGTTCCCTGTGCTGAAGCAAGCGGTGGTGGCAGCTCAGTGGAGCAAACTTCTGAATCAGGGCTGAAGAGAGGCTGGAGTCGTTGCAGTTCATTTGTGCATTTGTGTTCAGAGTGCAAAAAACCCACTAACGTCGTTCATTTTAATACAAAAAGGTGTCTTTGGGGAAGTTCAGGAAGGGCTGAAAACACAAAATCAGCTTCCTCTGAGAAAATCTTAATTGGTGAATAAGGTAATTTCAGATCAGTTTGATTTGGAATTAAGTTTGCCTTTTACTACTGCCCTAAATGTTCCAGTTTTCTCCTGTTTCAGTATTTGGCAATGAGCGCTGTTGGGTTGCCTGGTTATGACACTGTGCTTTGATTTTCCCATCTGTAAAATGGAAACTCTTACCAATTTGTAATGATAAATTTGTTAACTTTTTTTTTTTAAAAAATGTGCTTGTATCTAGTTTGTTAAACAGTAAGGGAGAATCTCTATACATGGGAAGAAAGATATATCCCATGAGTAAATGTAGGCTCTGTAATTAACCACTGTATGGTAGTGATACCAAAGGGATCTCATTACTGTGTACTTGCAGTAATGAGCTCTAAGTTGGTTCCATCATATGCAACAAGCTTGGGAAATTTAATGCAGTATTTATATCTAGTGTGTAGTCACAGGGAGATTAAATTGTTAAGTGGTAGGTTTAAAAAACTCATACAAACTTGTTTTTCCGCTGTGTGTATAGGACTCGTTTAGTATTTGATAAATTCATCTTTTATTTTGACTATACTGTTTGGAATGGCATGACAGGAAGGATATGTCAAGAAACTCATTATGACTAGGAGTCACTGGAGCAAGCAGGATCTTACTTGGATGAAAGGCAATGGGTATAAGACAGGAGATGTTTGCTGCATCACCATCTTAATTCACGATAGGCTGAAATGGTCTAGATCAAAGATATGTAGGACAAGACCATTTGCTAGTTTAGTTTGGGATGGCTTTATTGATTTCAGTGATGCTGTTTAGAGTTAAACCTGTGGTTTATGATCTCTGCCTCAGATAAGGATTGATTACACATTGGAATTAGTTATTTGTATAAGGTGAAGTGCAGATATATGATGGTGGAATTAAGGACTAGGTTTATATGCAGCTAAGTGGAAAGCAATTTAATAAGATGCTGAAAAGAAGTTGTGTATCTTTCTAAGAAAGCACTGTAAAACATCTACTCTTCTCATGCAAGTTTTGTAAATAGAGTTATAGGTTACTTCTGAAGGAGTATTTCAGGGAAATTAATAATCACATGAGACATTAATGTCTGGATGGAAACTCAGGGTCAACAAAACACAGCTGATATGAGTCAGGAAGGAAGGATTCAGACATAGGGTCCTAAACAGGACAGTCACCTCCTGCATTTGACAGCTACTACTGACAGCACTTAACTGATACCTCAACTTCTTTTTCCACTTTGAAGTTTCCAAGGTTTCTTTTGAGCTTATCTGAACAGAGAAAGCACAGGCTAGCCCAGAAATTGGAGTTCTCAGTGGGAGAGGGACTGCTGGGTGACAGGCCTTACTTCAGGGTCTGTTAATATAATTGTAATACTGGATGGCCAATGTGTAACTCCTAAAATTCTATGTTCAGTTGCCAGTTTCAAGTGAACTATCTGTCCTTCCTTTCAAGGTAAGAAGCAGCCTGAATGGCTGGTGCCACAAAGCTCTGAATTTGCTGTAGCTGCCAAGGAGGCTCTGCACTGTGGCATCAAAATCCAGTTCTATTTTCAGCCCTTGCATCCTTCTGTGTACTGTAAGAATGTAAGAGCTGATTCCCCAACACTGGTCAGAGTGCATTAGGTGTGCTCCTGGAAAGCATCTTTGTATTTAATTTCATTTGAAATCAACCCACTCTGCTTGTTCTGAGACCAATGCAAAGTGTGATGTGGTAAGTCAGGATTCAGACTTTTCAGGAAAAGGCTTATGCAGATACTGCCAAGGTGCTGTGGATAAAGAGATCCATACAATGGGTGTGTCTGAAAAACGGGAAGATTACACCTGTTTAACAACTGAGAGTGTGGCAGTTAAATTTCCTACCACAGCTCAAAATACCAGGCACCCACTTGCTTCCTTCTTGACTGAGTATGAAGAGGGGGTGATTTTTATGATGTTTATCAAATACGTGCAGTTTACACATTAATTGTATGGTGTAGTTAACGTTCTCATTTCTATGTTATATAATTCTGAATATGAGCATTAGTAGGGATAACAGTCCTACTGATACAATGTATGGAGAAACAAAGGAGAAACCAGAAATGTCAAGGTTTTAAAAGAATTTGAAAAGTTGTCAGAAGAGGGCAGCCTTTTCCCACAAACTATAAACCAACAACACAGAAAAAACATCAGAAATTATTCCTTTCACTCGAATTATGCATGCCAGTGTAGGGTTAACCTTGTTAAGGAAACGAACATGCACAAAACTTGATCACAACAAGAATGCTTCTCTTTTGTGCTATCTTCAAAGGACATAGGCCTGGCTTTGTAGAAAAATTTTTTTTTCCTCTTATATTCAGACAATAGAGTTAGAAATGATTGTAAGATGAGTCAACAAAGGGAAATGAAATCACCCTTCTTTTTAGATTTATTTTTAGTTACAGAGAAATGAACTTTGAGTACTTGGGGTATTAAGGACAAAAGATGCTTGCTTAAATATTGCAGAGAAGTAAGCCAATCTTTAGATTAAGAGTGAACAAAGAACTAGAAAATTAAATGAATGATGCTTTATTATTGTATTCTTAATCATATCAATCTGTCTCAGTATTTATTCAAATACAATATGTAGTTCATGAAGACTGTTTCCAGTAGTGAAATTTATGTCATAAACAACTGGCAGACTACACTGGTTTCCTACAGAACTCATTGCTGTCAGTAGGCTCCAGCTACAAGTAGTCTGTAACAATTCCAGTGCATTTGTCACTGCAGTGGAAAAAGTGCCAGAATTTGAATGAACATCATTTGTGAACAGATAAAGAGATTATGAAGATTTTGTTGTTGTTGTTGCTTAGGGTGCTTCTTTTTTGTTTGTTTTGGGGTTTTGCTGTTTGGTTGGTTTTTTGGTTTTTGGTTTTTTTTTAAATTCTTGCTCCTGAGTGGAAGGAGTAACCTTGTGGCTGTGTCTCTTTGTGAGTAAATTGGCTCCTGGCAGGGCTGGACTACTGAGCAGCAACTCTGAATGGAAGGCCAGGCCAAATATTTAGACTGGGAATTTGGGTCTTGACACTGGGCTGAGTGAGGACTCAACCTCAGTTAATGAAGTTTTTAGATCTTGATTCAGCAAAGAAGTTAAACTCCAATGATGTGATTGGTTAAGACAAAAATT